GATGATAATGAGGACGATGACGATGCTGATGCTGCTGCTGATGATGATGATGATGATGATGATGGTGGTTGTGGTGATGATGCTGCTGCTGATGATGAATATGATGCTGCTGCTGATGATGCATCTGCCGATGATGATGGTACGATGATAACAATGCTGATGCTGATGCTTACGACAATGACGATGACGATGTCGATGATGCTGATGATGAGGATGGTGATGATGATCATAATGCTGTTGATGTTGATGTTGATGATGATGATGATGATGGTGATGATGATGATGATGATGCTGATGATGATGATGATGATGTGGATGATGATGATGATGATGATGATGATGATGATGATGATGATGATGATGATGATGATGACGATGACGATGACGATGATGATGATGATGCTGATGATGCTGCTGATGATGATGATTATGATGCTGCTGATGCTGCTGCTGATGCTGCTGATGATGATGCTGTTGATGATGCTGATGCTGCTGCTGATGATGATGCTCATGATGATGACGATGCTTATGCTGATGATGATGATGCTGCTGCTGATGATGCTGATGATGCTGCTGATGATGCTGCTGCTGATGATGATGATGATCATGATGATGACGATCTTGCTGCTGACGATGATGCTGATACTGATGCTGATGCTGATGATGACGTTGATGCGGCTGCTGATGATGATGATGTTGATCATGTTGATGATGGTGCTGCTGATGATGCTGGCGATGCTGATGCTGATGCCGATGATGTTGCTGCCGATGATGAGGATGATGATGCTGCTGATGATGATGATGATGATGATGATGATGATGATGATGATGATGATGATGATGATGATTATGCCGATGGTGATGGTGATGCTGCTGATGATGATGGTGATGCTGATGACGGTGATGGTGATGGTGATGATGCTGATGCTGCTGATGATGATGATTATGCTGATGATGATGATGCTGATGATGATAATGATGATGATGATGATGATGATGCTGATGATGATGATGATGATGATGATGATGATGCTGATTCTAATGCTGATGCGGATTACGATTCTGGTGGTGGTGGTGGTGGTGGTGGTGATGGTTGTGATGCCGCCGATGATGCTGCTGCTGATGCTAATGCTGCTAATGACTATGCGAAGGATGAGGGCGAGGAGGACGAGGAGGAGGAGGAGGACGAGGAGGAGGAGGAGGAGGAGGAGGAGGAGGAGGAGGAGGAGGGAGGAGGACGAGGAGGAGGAGGAGGACGAGGAGGAGGAGGAGGAGGAGTAGGAGGAGAGACGAGGAGGATGAGGAGGATGAGGAGGGAGGAGGAGGAGGAGGAGACTGAGGAGGAGGAGGCGCATGAGGAGGAGGAGGAGGAGGAAGAGGAGGAGGAGGTGGAGGAGGAGGAGGATGAGGAGCAGGAGGAGGAGGAGGAGGAGGGAGCAGGAGGAGGAGGAGGAGAATGAGGAGGAGGAGGAGCAGGAGGAGGAGGACCAGTGTAAGCCCACAAGGCATCAACGATCTTACAATACCTCCCCGTCCAAGTTCCCTTTTCATACGTCCTTGCAATATTTTGTTCGCATGGCGGGAAGTGCCCTGTTGGAAAGAGGAGGAGCAGGAAGATGAGGAGGAGAAAGACGATAAGGCGGAGGATGAGGAGGAGGAGGAGGAGGAGGATGAGGAGGAGGAGGAGGAGGAGGAGGAGGAGGAGGTGCGGAGGTCTGCGGCGGCCGCGAGGGTTGGGCGGCGAGGGCGAGGTCACGAGCGCAGCGGCGCGGTCGCTGCGGGAGGGGTGCATGCTCCAGCCCCGCAGCTGAGCACAGGAGATCGGCCACGCGCAGAAAGGGGTAAGAAGGCTGCGCCTTCTGAGAAGGCCCGTGCCTTCTAAGAAGCAGCCTCCTTCTAAGAAGCCTTCCCACCTCCCCCTACCCCCGTGTGCGCGCCGCCAATAAAAAAATACCCATACCGCCACCCTGGCGACTCGCTTTTGCCCTTTTGGGCCTCCTGGGATGCCCCCGTCGGCCAGGCTGGGTTCGCCTCGGAGTTCTAGACGATTCGCGTAACCCCAGCAGCCCGTCCCCAGGCGAGTTGCCCTGATGAGGCCTGTGGGGGAGCATGCAGTGTAATGAAGGCTGGGAAACCGTCATACTCGAAGAGGGGGAGGATGGATGCGGAACCTGAAGAAGAGGAGGAGGAGGAGGAGGAGGAGGAGGAGGAGGAGGAGGAGGAGGAGAAGGAGAAGGAGGAGGAGGAGGAGGAGGAGGAGGAGAAGGAGGGAGGAGGAGGAGAAGGAGGGAGGAGGGAGAAGGGAGGAGGTGGAGGAGGAGAAGGAGAGGAGGAGGAGGAGGAGAAGGAGGGAGGAGGGCGAAGGGAGAAGGCATGAGGAGGAGGAGGAGGAGGAGGAGGAGGAGGAGGATAAGGAGGAGGAGGAGGAGAAGAAGAAGGGAGGAGGGAGAAGGGAGAAGGGAGGAGGAGGAGAAGGATGAGGAGGCTGAGGCGGATGAGGAAGAGGAAGAGGAGAGGGCGAACAGAAAGGTCAGAGGCCTCTTGGATGTTTCTCGGCGTATCTTCGGATGTTTCTCGAGAGCTTCTGATAGGCTTGTCGGGGCGTCTTGGGACCTACCGCTTGGCGTTCCTGGGGGCCCCTTGAAGCGTCTTGGGGCCTCTTGGGGCCTCGTGAGGGTCTCGTGGGAGCCTGTTGGGGGCATCTTGGGGGCATCTTGGGGCCCTCTTGGGATCCTCCTGGACGCCTCTTAGAGCCCTCTCGGGGCACTCTTGGGGCCGCGGGGGCCATCTTAGGGCCATCTTGGAGGTGATCGACCAAAGAAGGGGGGTCCCAAATAGCTTTCCCCCCAGAAGGCTGAAATTGGCCCAAAACCTTAGTAACATGAGTAATTTTGGCCTTCTCGCCGATGCCATCCTGGACGCTCCAACTCTTCGCGAGCCTCCCGTCCAGGTCCAGGGGTAGGGGGTAGGGGGAGGGGTCAAGACACCCTCCCCGCCCGCAAGCTGTCTTGCTCACTCCCACCCACCCTCCCAACACATAAGTAGCACCTGAGCCTCAGCGCGTTCAGCGGACGGCTATGGACGGATCGCCACCGGGAACCACAAACTTACCCCGTGTGCGCGATGCTGGGGCGAGGCGCGCTACGCGTGCCAGGCGCGCCACGCGCGCCAGGTGCGCAAGGCATCCCTTGGGCCGAAGCGTGCCAGGCACTGGCGCGCTAGATGCGCCACGTGCTCCACGTGCGCCATGTGTGCCGCATGCTCCATCCGCGCCAGGTGCGCCACGTTCGGGGCACGCGCAGAGTGTGCCAGGTGCGCCCGCGCACGTGGCAGCACACATCGGGAAACACGTCGTTCCGCACCGTCGTCGTCAAGCATCAGTGCACAATCGCGGCGGGGTGGCCATCATGGTGTCTGGTGGGCCTCCACACAGCAGGCAATATGCCAGCACACCTGCCGTCCTTGTCAAAAACCAATGCAAAGTTACCGCGGGGTGGCCGCGCACGATCTACAGTTAGTCGCGAGGTGAATTTCGTATTTTTTGGTACGGATAGTGGTCCTGCGCGCATCAGGTAATATGATACTCCCCGTCGTCCCTGTCAAAAATCAATACAATGTGCTCGCGGAGCCCACGAGCATGACCCAAGAAGTTGCCTTGAAGTATATCCGTAAGGGCTTCGCCCCCTGCCGCCGGCCCCCTCTCTCGGAGAATGGGCCATGGAAGAGCTAAGTCATGAGGCCTTGGCGCTGTCGTGAAGCAGTATCGAAACTTCATGCGAAGCCGATTCGCAATCAGCAAAACCAACTGATCACAAGAGGGGTTACCACACCTGGCGATTGGTAAGACGTGTATGATTTACGGGCTTGGTTACCACACCTTGCGATTAAAGGGCCGAGGGAGTTCTCGCAGTTTGGGTTACCACGCGCCTGGCGATGGATGTGCGTGAAGGGTGGCACCGAATTTCAGAAATGTGCCAAATCCCATGTGTTTTTGGACCCTGACTCCGCGGATCTGCGTAAGGGGTGGCGCCGAATTTCAGAAATGTGGCAAATCCCTTGTGTTTTTGGACCCTGACCCCGCGGATCTGCGTGAGGGGTGGCACCGAATTTCAGAAATGTGGCAAATCCCCTGTGTTTTTGGACCCTGACCCCGCGGATCTGCGTGAGGGGTGGCACCGAATTTCAGAAATGTGGCAAATCCCATGTGTTTTTGGACCCTGACCCCGCGGATCTGCGTGAGGGGTGGCACCGAATTTCAGAAATGTGGCAAATCCCTTGTGTTTTTGGACCCTGACCCCGCGGATCTGCGTGAGGGGTGGCACCGAATTTCAGAAATGTGGCAAATCCCTGTGTTTTTGGACCCTGACCCCGCGGATCTGCGTGAGGGGTGGCACCGAATTTCAGAAATGTGGCAAATCCCCTGTGTTTTTGGACCCTGACCCCGCGGATCTGCGTGAGGGGTGTCGATTTCGAGCCCCCCCAGCAATTCAGACAACGCGCTCAGGAGGTGCTAAATATCTGGTTTGGGCCTCCCCCCCCCTCGCGCGGTCAATCAACTAGTTACAGTTACCAGCAAGAAGCAGAACTGTAACACTGGAAACTACAAGCTACAGCTGACACAGGAAACTGCGAACCCGCGCCTACAGCCTGGTGGCCCCACAAGGGGGCCGGCGGATTTGTATGGTTTTTTCAGAGGGGATGGTGGTGGGGGCTATTGTGATTGGTCCTGGTTGGCTGCTGGTCGCCTGGGGGAGGAGGTGTGATCGGAGGTGTTTTCATTAATCGGGAACAGTGATAAATCCTTCCCCGAGGGGGAAGAACGGGGGTTGGAAGAGAAAACTCCCTAAATCACCCACGCCCTACGGCCTGGTGGGATTCTGGTCAGAACGCACCCCAGGAGAGGTCCGTGGAGTAGCGGTATCGGTACCTCTCTGTCCCCCAGTGCAGGAGCGTCAGAAGGGGGAAGAGCACGGGTGATGCATGCAAAAGAGAAAGTGCAGGTCGGAGACACGCTCAAGTTCGGCGTCACCCTGAGCGAGAAGGAGTGCCCCTTTCGTCGCGCTCTCTTCGGCGCCTGTCCAGTCAGCCTGTCCCAGCTGCCAGGAGCTACGCCCGACAGCCCGCCTCAGGTCCATTGCGGCTAACGGCTCGTCGCATGGCCTGTTCTCACCTTTTATGTGCTCTCCGAGATTGCTTCTCTGTGTCGTCCCAGTCGTTCGCGATCTAGGATCTCGGGGGTAGGCTGTGGACCTTTCACCCAACACGGTCCGATGGAGTTGCCCAGAACTCGGAGATTGGGGCGGCGATGCAGCCTTCGTGCGAGGTGCCCCCCGACCAGCAACAATCCCCCGCAGTGCCCGCCTGTTTCAGGCCTGCGTGTGTCATCTGGCTCAGGACGGCCGCGTCCTGCTGCCACGAGGTCAGCGCTTTAGACTCCGGGCAGCTCGACGGGGGGTCATGGGACCGAGGCGGGGACGGTCAGAACAGTGCCGAGCCAAGGACGCCGGCGCCGGCTCCGTGCACGGGACCGAGCCACGGGGGGGACAGCCTGGGGCAGGGCAGGACACACGACCCTGGCGACGGCACAGTCGTCCTCCTCCTCCCCTTCTCCTCTGGAGCCTCTGTAGACAGAATGCCTCAACAATCAAAGGAGGCGATAAAGGAAGATGAGCGACAGGACGGGAAAGTGCACACCTGCCTGCCTCCGTCTTGCTGGCAGGCTCAGCTTCCTGCCTCCCTCCACAATTACATACTGGATCTGAGTACTACTTTCCTCGCTCCCCCCGAAGATGGTCGGGGAGTCGCCCGCCCCCCTCCGCAAGTGCTTTTCACACAGGATTTCAGGCATTGGTGTTTCCTATGCTTCTTTCCATGGGAGCGTCTTCAGTGTCTCAACATGGTGCTGCCGCTGCAGCGTTGGCCTCGTTTTAGGATCGGCGCTATGCTCCCGTCGTCCAGACTGGCGCTCTCCCCCCAGCGCGGGCCACTATTCTCTGGATCCGAGTCTTCCCCCATCGTTGTCGCCCCCTCCTTTCCCCTCCTCCGCCTTCCCCTGGTCCTCCTGCTCCTCCCGCTCCTTCTACTCCAGCTCCTGCTGCTGCTGTTCGTCCTCCTCCTCCTTCTTTCTCCTCCTCCTCCTTTTCCTCCTGCTCATCCTCTTGCTCGTCCGCCACCTCTTCCAATGTACACAGCTCCCCCTTTCCCATTGCGTATAACACGAGTGTTGTCCTTTTTGGAATTCCAGGCCCGCTGTGACTCGCGTCGGCAGATAGAGACGAAATCTGCGCAACGGGGAGGGATCGGTGGGAGGGGTAGGATGTCAGACATGGCGCGAGTGCACCTAGCTTGCCCCCCTCCCCCCTCTCCCCCCCTCTCCCACGCCACCCCATCCCCCTGCCCCCCTTGGAAGCAAACGGAGCGGCTCCCAGGGGCACCCTCGCGCCCAGAAGGTGTCCGTGGCGTGAGGCGGGGGTCGCTGCGCAGAGGAGAGGCAGGCACGGAGATGAGGGAGAAGGGAGGGGGAGGAGGAGCAGGAGGAGGAGGGGGAGGAGGAGCAGGAGGAGAAGGAGGAGGATGAGGAGGATCAATAATCTAGTGTCGAGTTGTTGGGTGATTGTTGTCCTGGTGGAAAGAAAGTGGTTGCGAGGAGGATCGAGGATCCAGGTTTTTGGAGGCTGCTGGGCCGAGGGGGAGGAGGAGGGAGGGATGGGGGAGGGAGGCAGGGAGGGAGGGAGGGAGGGAGGGAGGAATCAGACAGGAGAGTGATGGTGACGTCGACGACGGCCAGGGCGATGCTGATGATGATGATGATGATGATGATGATGATGATGATGATGATGATGATGGTGGTGATGATGCTGCTGCTGCTGATGATGATGATGCTGCTGATGATGATGATGCTGATTATGCTGCTGATGATGATGGTGGTGGTGGTGATGATGATGCTGATGACGATGATGATGACGACGAAGCTGATGATGACGATGATGATGCTGATGATGATGGTGATGCCGAGGACGGTACTGGTAATACTGGTGATGCATCTGATTATGCTGCTGATGGTGCTGATGATGATGGTGATTACGATAGCGATGACGATGATGACGACGATGGTACTGCTGTTGAGGATGATGATTCGGACTCCCGATTGTGATGCCAGTGCCGACGTGGATTTTGTGTTCATGGTTTACGATTTCAACGATGATGAGTGCTGATTTCGGTGGCCATGCTGATGACGACGACGACAGCGACGAGGACGGCGACGACGACGATGACGGTGGCGACGACGACGATGACGAGGATGACGATGCTGCTGATGATGCTGATGATGATGATGATGACGATGCTGCTGATGATGCTAATGCTGATGATGCTGACGCTGAATATGATGCTGATTATGATCATGGTGATGATGACGATGATGGTGGTGGTGGTGATGAGGATGATGCTGCTGATGCTGCTGCTGATGCTGCTACTGATGATGAAGTTGCTGATGATGATGATGCTGGTGGGGATGATGACGATTTTGATGGTGGTGGTGGTGGTGAGGACGACGAGGACGAGGACGACGATGCTGATGATGATGATGCTGATGATGATGATGATGATGATGCTGATGATGATGATGATGATGATGATGATGATGATGCTGATGCTGATGCTGATGCTGATGCTGATGCTGATGCTGCTGCTGATGATGATGACGATGATGATGCTGATGCTGCTGCTGGACGATGATTCCGATGCTGCTGCTGATGATGATGCTGATGTTGTAGTTGTCGTTGTTGATGATGGTGATGATGCTGCTGGTGCTGATGCTGCTGCTGATGATGATGATGATGCTGCTGCTGCTGATGATGATGATGATGATGATGATGATGATGATGATGTTGATGATGATGACGATGAGGATGCTCATGAGGGTTCGTATGATGCGGAAGTTAGTGACGCAAGGTAGTGATGCTTATGGTTCAGAGGAAGAGGCGTGTAGGCGGAGTGGGGAGGGAGGGACGGGAGGGAGGGAGAGAGGGATGGGGGGAGGAGGAGGAGGAGGAGGAGGAGGAGGAGGAGGAGGAGGAGGAGGAGGAGGAGGAGGAGGAGGAGGAGGAGGAGGAGGAGGAGGAGGAGGAGGAGGAGGAGGAGGAGGAGGAGGAGGAGGAGGAGGAGGAGGAGGAGGAGGAGGAGGAGAGGGAGGAGGAGGAGGAATTTTCGTCGTTCTCCTGTCGCTCCTTATCCTCCTTCTCCTCCTCCTCCTCCTCCTCTTCCTCCTTCCTCTTCCTCGATGGGAGGAGGAGGAACTGGAGGAGGAGGAGGGAGGGGAGGAGGAGGAGGAGGAGGAGGAGGAGGAGGGAGGAGGAGGAGGGAGGAGGGGGAGGGAGGAGGAGGAGGAGGAGGAGGAGGAGGAGGAGGAGGAGGAGGAGGAGGCGGATGAGGAGGAGGAGGAGGAGGGGGAGGAGGAGGAGGAGGAGGAGGAGGAGGAGGAGGAGGAGGAGGAGGAGCAGGGGGAGGGGAGGGGGAGGGGGAGGGGGAGGGGGAGGAGGAGGTGGAGGAGCATGTGGTTGGGTAGGGCCGATGCGCTGGAGGTCGCGACGCTGACGTGTCGCGCCCCGCATGAAGCCGGGTCTTTGCGACGCTGGCGCCAGGTAATCAATTGATTCAAGGAGGTGGTGCCCTGCATGTGAACCGCGCGCCACGAGGAGGAGGAGGAGGAGCAGGAGGAGCAGGAGGAGGATGATTTGGCGCAACTTCACCGCAGGTGGCGCGATAATTCTGCGCACCCCTCCAGGCCATTTGCGTGCTTCCATTTCGCGAGCGAAAGCTGTGGCGTTTTTTAACTACAGAAGATGAGCACGAGGCTGCGTTTGAAGCCATTTGTGCATAGGGGGAGGTCGCCCTCCCAAGATTAGTGCTTGGCGGCGTGCAGCCAGTCATGTTCTGGACGGTCTGCGCTGTCCGCGTCGCACCTCTTTTCTGCCCGGGGCGCCTCAGCAAGGCCGCGGGGAGACACGGCGCTCCTTCCGCATCGCGGTGTGGTTCGCTCACACGTGCTACACCATTTCAATCGAGCCTGGGCAGCCCCATGTTGGCGGCTTGGGACCAGGACCTTGCTGAGACACCGACGCCCCTCTGAGCAGGCCACCTCTGGGCCATCAGGCAGCATCGTGGCCCAGTTTTCCACCACTGCTGCCATGTGCAGGGAGCCGGTGGTCTGCCAGTCCTCGCAGGCTTCCTGGCACAGCTGAGCCGAACAACGCTGAAGCCTCCGATGTCTGGAAGGCTATCCAGAGTCATCCATCTCCTGCTTGTAGCAGCGGTGATGGAACATCAGGGCCATGATGGGAGTCTCTGCGCCTTTCGAGCGCGAGGCCGGAGCCCGCGTGGAATGGAACTGCGCGGGCAGAGTTTGTGGCGGTGCGAAACCAGTCCTGCAACGATCAGTCGCGGGGGGCACAGCGAAGATGCAGTAACAGGATGCGGCATCTGGCGGCGCGCCAAACATCGTCGAATAAGCAATGATATTAACATGCACTTTCGGAGCTCCGCGCGGATTTCTCAGATCGGCGCTGGAGCCCCTTGGCGGCGCCTCCCGCGTCGCCCCTGGCGCGCGGAGCGCGCCAGGCAGGGGGTCCAGCGCCGATCCGAGAAACCCTCGCGGAGCTCCGAAAGTTGATGTTTATCTAATTGTTTGTTCTTCTAGAAAAGGGGGGCAGGTCGGAGTGGGTTGCCTCGTGGCAAGGCAGAAGGCTTCTCAAGGAGCTCCTGAGAAGGCTTCTTAGAAGACGTGAGGGCTTTTCTCCAGGCGTTCTGCGCGGAAGTTTCTTCTCCCCCGATCGCCCCAGGGATTCACAGAAGCTTTGGGGGGCATCTCGGGACCCTCAGAGGTCGTCGACGAATGAGCCCAAGATTTCTCATAGCAGTACCTTTATCGTATGCATGTGTCTACTGTATGTGCCCTTGGAAAGAGGGTGAGGCGGTACGAAGGCAAGGGTGCGCCAGGTCACCCGCGGGGTCGCGAAGATAATCGCACTTCGCGCGTCGCGGTCGAGGCCAGAGCGGCTGCCCTTCTCCAAGGGGCCAGCGCGAGGGCGCGTGGGCGCGAAGATAATGACGCGCCGCGCATTGCGGGGCTTCGTGCTATTCTGCGCAGGCGCCGCATCCCAGTACGCGTTTTCCTGTGCCGGGCAGGGCGGGGCGCCGGCAGTGGCGGGTTGCCACGTTTCAGATCGGGCTGCTGCGCGTGCGTCAGACGCCACAGGGATGCAGATAAGTTGCGATTTCTTCTTAAACGCAAGCACGTCAAAAACCTCAATGACGAAGCACATAAGAAACAGTGGTCATGAAAAGGACATGGTCACTATTGATTTGGAAGGTGTTGCTCATATTTCGGACGAAGCGTACAGGACGAATCCAGCATCCTGAGGAGCATAAGTGGTAACCGACCCGACGGAAGAAGAGCATCGCATGCGTTTGCAGCAGCCCCGATGCCCGATGCCAGCGGCTCCGCCCGCTTCCCAGAGGGTCGCTTAGCCCGCGTAGACCCCGGGCCTGTGGATCAGAAGCTGACCTGGAGGCTCCAAAAGCGCCACATTGGCAGCGTCAGCAGCCTGCTGACCCTCCCAATCTGGCGATCCAGAACTGAAGCTGGAGCCTCCAGGTGAAACTCCCACTCTTGGAAGCTTCAGCCTCGGGCCAGCTCGGAGGCTCCCAGAGCACAAGTAGGCTTCGAAAGGGCCGCAGAATGTCGGACCCTTTTGTGTCGTGGAGAGCCGAAGTTGGCTCCGCAGATTCGGAAGAGCTCGGGAGCCTGCGGGGTGCTCTCAGAGGCCGTCATCTATACACTGCACCGATCCAGGCCAGGCCGACCCTTGGCCCAGGATGTTTGTATATTCCCTCCTGGCCCAGCCAGCAGGGAGCAGATGCGGATCCTGGGCTCAGGATGGGCCTGGCCACGGCCGGTGCAGGTCCACAGCTGGTGTCTTGCTGTGCCCATTTTGCCTGCTGCAGGCCCAGGTCCGAGGCGTGGCTGTGAGGCCAGAGTTGATACGCATCCACCGCCTGGGGAACCGATCTCCCAGGACCCCCAGGAGGCGGTGGATATGTGCATCTTTGCGCCCCGATGCCGTCTTGCAATGGCTGCCCTCGTCGGCCTCCGCTGGGCGACTCGGGGTCAGCGCGGAGGGGTCAGCGCCGATCGGCCACTGAGCTCGTCGCCCCGCGCGCGCGCCTGGGTCGGACCGCTCGGCAGTGACGCCTCCTCCCGCCGCCGGACATCCGACGCCGTGGAGAGAGCACGGAGCAGGCCGTGAAAGGATGCCGGCCAAACCCCTCGGCCGATCTCTATCTCTCTCTCTCTCACTCTCCATGGGGTGTTTCGTGCTGGACCAGCCCGTGAGCGGGGCCCGAGGGGGCCCAGAAAGGCCCGTTTCCAGACATCCGATGCTTTGATTTTTTGGTACGGGGTCCCCAGAAGTCCCGACCCTTTCCCCAGGGCAGACTCTGCATACCGAGTCTTTTTTTTGACAGTTCCGGGGCCTGGCGAGGGCCCCCAGAGGCAGAACACGGCCCGACAATTTCCGTCATGTTCTTTGTTTTTCTTTCCTTCCACGACGCGAGCATGTTTGGGTTTTCATCTTTTCACGACTCGCCGATAGAGATTGTTCGCTCGCTCCTGCAGGTGTCTCGAGCGGTCCGGTTGGCGCTGGCCGCTCCGCGCTGCCCCCTCGGAATAGGGCGCGGTGTTCGTTTTCGGACTGGCACGCTGTGGCCTGGCTGGTGTCCCCGCGCGCGGCGAAGACAAGGTGCGGGGGCACCGTGAAGAGGAGGGTCCCCTGAGGGAATCTGCGGTCGGAAACTTCGGCTTAGCGTGTCGCGCCGCCAGTCCTGGCCCACCACGCCTCGGCTCGACACGCTATCCACGTCCCAGTCCCCGAACGTCCTGAGCCTTTCCCAGCCTCCCACCCCGCGGAGCGGAGCGACGCGCTATCCGCTCGCAATGTATAGCGTGTCGCCGGGGCCGCCGCCGCGACACGCTGAGCAGAAGTACTCGACCCTAGGCCTCCCAGATGGGTCAGGAGCTGGGGTTGGAGGATTGCGTCGCATCGCCGGTGCATCGCCGATGCGGCTCGATGTGGGGCCCGATTCTCTCCACGCCGACGGCACCGATGCGTCGCTCATGTCGCCGATGCATCGGCGATGCATCGGCCTCGCGGAGTGCGGTGCTCCAGTCTTCTGTCCTCCTCACCTCGCCCCCTTCCTCTTCCTCTTTCCCTTCCTCCTGTTTCTTTTTTACACTGCGCGGGCCCTGGTCATAGGGCCGCAGCGCCAAGATGAGTTGAAGGAGCACCGTCTTAGGCAAAGCCCGGCGACTGCATAAACATGGCCTGAGGACGAGCCGCTGATCAGCATCGTCTAATCTATCCCCATCCCCACGGGGCCATGGTATCTCAGCCCGGCTAGCCCACCCTCCTAGGTATGGACATGCCCCGCGAAACCCGAAGGAACAGGCATCTCCCTGTAATTCGGCCAGTGGGGCCAAGGCCACACCGATGGGGATAGGGATCGGCGAAACGATGCTCAGCTGTTGACAGAATGTGCAAAGGGAGAGCCGGGAAAGGTAGAGTGCCCGCTGGGGCACGGAATGGGCGCGTTGCAGGTCGCGACGGGAGGCGAACAACACGACCGGCAAGGTAAGCCTGCTGACAATCTCATCGGTGGGAGGAATCCGAAGTGGAGGCTGCCCACACACACAAATGCGAGGGCTGTGGCTACACAAGCTAAGGTTTTGCCGTCGCCTCTCGCGGATCTCACGGCTCTCGCGAGACGCGATGCTGCGTGGATGTGCTGCAAAAATAAAACAAGCTAAGGTTTTGCCGTACAGGCTCGCCTGTGGCAGATTGGGCCCTCGCGTGACTCCCGGCTTGCTTGGCGCAGCTCGTGGGCACCATCATCCGCAGGTGGGCGTGTTTCGTGGCGAACAAGAATTCGCCTTATCGTGTCCTCCTCCGCCTCTCCCTCTCCCTCCTCCTCCTCCTCCTCCTCCTCCTTCTCTTCCTTCTTCTTCTTCTTCTTCTTCTTCTTCTTCTCCTCTTTCCCGAGTCTCAAGCCCAGGACCACTGCAGATTCCTCTCGCTTCGCGGGGTGCACGTCCGGACCACATGCAGTCCAGTCGTGCGAGGGCTCTTGGGAGCCTCTTGGGGTTCTGTTGGAGGCTTCGTTCCGCTGGCTTCTTGTCGCTTCGGCCTCTCGGAGTCCCTTGTCGTCGTTCGAGTCCCCTTGCGTTGTCGTCCCCGTTTGTTGCCTGTTCCTGTTTATCCCGATGTGTCGTGCGAGTCCCTTTCAGTCCTTTCGTCGACCTCGTTTCCTTTCGTCCCTTTTCGTTGTTTGAGTCTCTTTCCGTAGTTTTATGTTCTTTCCGTTCCTTCTATATCCTTTTCGTCGTCGTAGTGCTTTCGAGCCCCTTATCATTGTTTCAGTCCCTTTCAGTCCCCTTTCGTCGTAGCATGTTTTCTCGTGGTTTGAATCACTTTCGTTGTTGTCGTCCCAGTCAGGTTCTTGAGTCCCTTTTTGTCGTTGTGGTACCTTCAATTTTCTGTGATGTCAGGTTCGTTCCTGTTGTTCATTATGGCTGCCCTTTCGTCGCTCCGGTATCTCTGAATCCCTTTTCGTTGTTCGAGTCCCTTTTCGTCGTTCGAATCTTTTTT